GGCTCATTTATTTGTTAATGCAGGGGCACTCAAAGGACAGTTTTCCCATATACACTACACCATGCACACCCACCCAAAAGCACGATTGTTAGAAATGGACGGCGTTGTCCAATAAACTTCCACATCATTAACACTAACTTCGGCTTTGCCCACGTGCTGCACATGAACATATTCTGCTGCATTTAAGCAGCTGAACATTGCTCACTGCGATTAAGGCTCCACAACCCAACCTTAAGCGGTAGCAGTCTTGTACTTCTGCAAAATCATCCAAGTCAAATTGTATCTTTTTGCGTGGCATGATATTTTTAAATCATTTTCGAGCTTAGCACTTTCCAACTGTCTTACTGCACTTCAACTTTAACTCGATATTGCTTTTAACAACTTGTTTAAGCTGATCTTGGCCGATTGCGCACTCCGTATACTGGTGTTGGTCTGTGTAAATGTGAGTCTTTATCTACCTCTTGATATTTTAGCCTCCCCTGTTGTTTAGTGGAAATCAGGAAAGTTGATCTACTTAGATATGTTTCGCGTGCTTCAAACTTCCATGACAGTCTGAGTTTGTCAAGGGATTACTCACCTATACATCTTCTGAGCCGAATATTTTATGAACTAGGTTTATTAGTGTTATACTTGTTTGAACAACTCAATAAACACTTCGCCCTACTTTGGTGTATGATACTTTGCAATATCTTTTACCTCAGATTTTTACAACTTGCTGCAGTCGGCATTTTTGTTCAGTCTACCAATGTTTCGCAAACCTCGGCGAGCGTATAGAGTCCAAAGGAAAGAGGAATCAGACGGTGAGGCTGAAGAGTCTCCAACGGATGTAGCCCAGACCTCTGAGACTAATCCATCGGCCCCTATTCGTTCCTCGGGGACCAAAGTGACTCTTAGTTTTGGAGATGATCTCGAAGGCAAACTACATTCATTCCCGCTGATGATTTCTTGTAGAATCTGAAACTTTCAAGGTTAAAAGACCAGCACATAGCCGACGTGTATTAAAACAGCTGAAGGAGGGCAAGAGCTCATTAAAACCGGTTGTATCTGATTCTCCTTCCAAAGGTCCCTCAACGGAATGTACTCAGACTGCAAGTTCCTCTGTTTCTTATTCGATTCCCACATAGCATTCCGCAAAAGTGGATGGGTTCTCGGTTTCTCCGAATATTACACACGAAGACGAGACCATCAAAGTGAGACCTTTGAATAGAGCTTCCTCGGAACAATTTTCTTCAATGCTTAAACGTAAGCATAACTCAAGTAGCTCAGGCGCAGCCAACTATTATTACTCATTGTGCTGTTTTTTAGAGGGCGTGATTCCCGACGCCAGCACCATACACATGGTTCGCAAACAGCGGCAGCAGGCCAAGTTCCAACTTGAGGCAGAGGAGGAGAACTTTTCTTCTCCTCACCCGTCAAGTAATGATGGTCGTCGCCTAATTAGGTAATGTTTTCTGTATTTAATTGAATTTTTTGAAGCTGATCACGCTTATACCATTCTTCAGGTAGTCTTGGGCTCAAATTGATCCGCTTGCTTACTGATTACTTGTTTTTAAGCTTCTGTTGGCTTTTTAACTTTAGCACTGCCGTAATTCAGTATTTTTTGTGTAGTTGTAGAAGCATTGCAGCTTTCCGTTTACAAAATTTTTTATTAACTCGCATGCTGCTTTGATTTTATTTAGATTCTTCACTCTTCTCAATGGCATAATTAACTTTTATTGTTGGCCCAAAGTTGAAGTTACATTATACTTTTTAGCTTAAAGTTACTTGGTTGTGTTTTCAAATGTGGGGACTGAGTACTTATAACTGGAAGCTTCCCAGAACTGTAGTTTATCCTTGAAATAGGCAATCATTATCTTGTTGGATGGCAACATTTACTTCTATTCACTGGCATCTTTTCGTGACTCATCTTCCATTTTTTGCGTGATAACTATGACTGTCTGAATTAGTGCCGAATGAATGATTGCGGAATCCCAGGTAACAATGTATAGTGGATAACTGTTCGCAATGATAGGTGCGCATTCTGCCTCCGGCACTAATATTTGTTTTCAGATAAAGCATTGCAGGCACTCATGGATTTGGTCACTTCCAAGCTCCTTCAGTGAAATCATTTTGCGTGATATGCATGCGCATGTCTTACTTTTGATTTTGCTCGTCTTCGAAACGCATTAGAATTCACATATGGTCACTTGTTCCATGCTTATTTCGTGCGCATTTCAGAATACGCCATATTTTTTCTGCAGGTATGCATTTATGTATGACTTGAATTATCCCTTTTTATTACTGTGAGCAACGGGCAGCTGTTCAAGCACTCTTACAAAATTACTTTGGTCACTATAAAGGGAAGAGGACGATGATGAAGAAGACGACTTTGAGGGGAGTGGAGCTAACGTTTATCACCATCGTCGGCCTGCCTTCACCCTGTCTGCTGAGTACCGTGACCCAAAAAGCCGTCGGCGAGTGGAGATCTCTCGAGGTCTGCAACGCAGACACGAGCGAGAGCAGGAGGACGATAAGGAGCGTCGTTCCATGCTTGAAGCCATAGAAAACGCATCAAAGAATAAGCATGAGGAAGGAGATGATGATGTAGATGATGACGAGGCGGATGATACCTGGGAGCGTCAACAAATCCAAAAAGCTGTCTCGAGCAAAGTAATTCACTTAGGTTTTCTTTTATGCTGGACATTTTAACTCCCCATATCATTCCGTTTTTTATTCAGAACACAGCTGTTTTGGAAGCTCTTGAACCTTTGCCATCTACAGACGGAGGTCTTCTTCCGAAACCATCGCGTCGCCTAGCTGACTTTGGGGACGTCACACTAGCTTCGATCAAGTCAACCCTTCAGGAACGGTAGGAAACTTTCATTTTCTTCGGGTTAAAGGTGTTGAACTCTCATTTTGTTCAACTCATAAAGGGGCTATAAGTGGATGCTGAATCCATTGCGTTCAGTGTTTCATTGGAAAAGCATCTGCGGGGCAATATTGACTTATATGAGAATGAATTTTGTACCCCATTTGTAATACCTGGAACTTGTGTATTTTGTTACGAGTGCTTGGTCCTACATCTTTCTCCAATCTACTATGATAATTTTGGGCTTTGGATGTGTTTTTTGTGGAGCCTAAATCCACAAGTGATTAAGAAACTAGCCAAATAGGATTTTGTTTTCCTGCTTTGTAA